GGGTGTTATGTTGTTTTTAGTGTATTGTGTCAGCCTGCCTAATTGCTGTCTAATGTCATTTATTTGTGTTTCTATTCTTCTCTGCCAGGCAGGCTTGTGATAGAATTGTGTTTTGTGTGTGTTTGTCTGCAAATGTATTTTCAGTCCATGGTATGTTACTACTGTGATTGGCCCGGCATAAACTAATTTATGAATATATGAGAGTGTAGAAATTAAATGGATGTAGTGTGGTAGTAAGTGAGTGTTTACATAATTTAATGTTTTTCCTACTTCGTTTGACATGTTGATTTTTGGTATTCGTGGTCTTTGTGTGGGATCTATACCACTATATTTAGTGAGTGTTTCCTGAAATATAAGTGAGAGCGTATTAACTAATTCTATGTCTACATTATCAGTGATGGATGAGGAAGTGCCTGTAGTGTCATTAGTTGTAGTTGTTGTATGTGTGCTATTATCAATGCTTGTTGCTAGATTATCCTGACAGGTTACGTGATCTTAATTAATAATGTTAAATGTTTCTGTCTGTTGATATATTTGATCAGCAACCTGTTGTTTGATTTGTTCGAGTGTTGTTTGTGTGATAAGGTTGTTGTGTATAATTGTTCTTTTTTGTTTGACAACCCTTTGGTGACAGTGAGGTGAGGATATTGTTGTGTGAATCTATGGTGTAGTTGTTGTCTGTACACTGTTATGTTTGTTTTGAGTTTTGTGATGGTGTAGTAAGTACAGATGATAAACTCATTCATTTCTATTGTCCACTTCATCCGTTGGCATGGTTTTCCAGCCTTTGTGGTCTGTGGATGCATTGCCACAGAAACACCAAGGCTAGGTTGATTCCTCACATCTGTTGAGAACATTGCAGTAGCCATGCTTGGCTGGTGCTGCTTTTGCCTATGGTAACCAAGGGAGACTGTAGTCTATTTTTCGAACCTGAACTTCTGCCTAACCCAAGAACGCACACCTTGTTAACCTAGGTGACATCTGAGCTGGTATCATACTTTGATCTGGTTTCTACCATAATAAATATCTCCACAGAATGTGGGTATGGTCACTGTTAGCTTCATTTCTCCCCATAGACCTTACTGGCATGGGTGTCCCTACCAGGAGCTTGTGCTTCAGCCTGCATTGTCCTATGGATCAGTAAAATTACTGGGCTCTCCCACCCCGACGAGGTGGTGAATATGGGAGAGTTATTATTATTATTATCATCATTATCATTATCATCAAAATTTCAATCAGTAGACATTTTCAGTTTCTGAATAAAAAATTTTATTCATTTAAACAACACATTATCTCAATATAATTGTGATTGAACAGAAAAACATGATTTTCAAGTATATTAATCATAATTAAGGAATAACATTTTTGTTATTAATTAATTAATTAGTTAAGACAGTTTCTAAACGTGTACATTATATTCATGTATTTAGAAGCTTTAACAAGTACTATGTATACTTCTGAAATTATATATCCAAATTTTCTACATTCAAATTTTCATTACATCAAATGTTGCTCTTTTCATCAAAAGTTAGTTTTTTAATTTTGCCTGGAAGTGGTGTGGCAGTTTATATTTAACAAAATAAATAGAATAACAAATTAAAAAATAATCCCAAACAAAATAGAATGGGTTGGAATCAACTCCTTAATTACCAGGATTGTGAATCTGAAACAAATATTTCTGATACTATGAAATTTTTTGAAGCACATTTGCAAAAATTTGAAATTTTCACTAGGAAAAGTGGAAAGTAGGGAGCAAGTTCATTCTCAACGTCTGTTTTCATTTGTTTCAGTGGTACTGTGTCTGTGTTTTGCTATGGTTAGACAGTTTAGTGATTTTTGTCACAAAATTCAGTGCAATCTTATGAGCTTTTTCTTAAAAATTCATTACAGAATGTTTACTATTTGATTTGTTTATTTTTATTATTATTCTGTTTTCATATAGTAGTATTTTAATATGAAAGGCATTGTATCATTATAACATTTTTATTGTTGTCTATGGCATGTTAAAAAAATGCACTTCATATACAATTTCTAATATTAAACAAATTTACAGCTTACAAGTATATCTTTTAATAACTTCATTGCTTCTTAGTAAGATAAGTGAAGTTTATGTTTAATGTTATGCTAAAATGCTAAAACTGATTTATAAATAATTTTTTTATAGTTTTAGTTCTTTAAATGTAAAGTAAATGTTTTGTAGTGTAATATTTTCCAAGTGACATTTATTTGGAAAAATTGGCTGATGTTACTTGGATAGACTAGGAACAAATGTTTTCCATAAGAAATAATGAAAAACAATCTCTCAATATCTGAATTTCCAATATTTTAATTGTTGTCAGGAATACATTAGATTCAGGTAGTGGATATGGCTATACAGTCGACCCCTGTATAAGATCATTGATTATTCCGTTTTATATGAATTCCATGTTGTATGAGTCACTTAGATTTTACAAATACGTGTACCGGGCTGTGAACGGCTCACGTATTTGTAAAATTTAAGTGACTTGTACAACATGGAATTCATATAAAACGGAATAATCAATGATCTTATACGGGGGTCGACTGTATTTTATAATAATGAAATTAAAATAGTTGAAAATTTGCATATTATTAACAGGTTATTCAGCAAAACTACCCAAAAATTGATATTATAAGGTTAAAATTCAAAAATTTTATGTTAAAATTATCATTATAATTTTTAATAGTATTCTATATATGTTATATTATATTATATATTATAAAAATTACAATAAAAATAAAAACAAAAAATATAAATATACGTTTAAAAAAAGTTGACATATAAACTATATAACATGTAAAGATTTTTTAGAAAGTTGTTTAATTAAAATATTCTAAATACAAAAGATTTTCAATATTTTAATTTTATAAAAGAAAGTACTTCAATTTAATTTAAAGAAAATTTTAGTAATTTGATAAAATTAATTATTTCAAGGATATATAGTAAATTTGTTGTTTAATTTACTTTTTATTAAATGTATATTTTGTTGTTATATTTATTTCAATTCACAATTTACTTAATAGGATGTTAGAAATTTAACTCTACTTTGCCCTCAACATATTTCTCAAGCACCTATTATATGTAAGTATGAGATTATATTTTTTTTATTTACATTAATTTTAAAGCATATATTTTTATTATTATTTATATAGATTTTTGTTGCATTTTTTAAAATAATGCAATTTTGTTTGAAGTAATGTTAATGTACTATACAAACGGGACATTCCAATTTTCGATGCGAGTGTTGAGTGTTGAAGTCAACAATTTGACGTCATCAACGATGTTCCAACTCGAGTACGAAATGCTTAGTTCCCATAATTCCATTCTCAGCAAGATGGATTCCATTCAAATGTCTTACCAATTACCCACAATTCATTGGAAAGTAGCAGTCAGCATATCTGTTGAGTGCTGAGTGTGTTGAGTCAGCGCTGACAACAGCGCTACCTCAACGTTGAAAAAAGGAACGAATTTTAACGAACGTTGAGATCAGCACTGAGTCAGCGTTGAAAATTGGAATGTCCCGAAAGGTTGACAATTTAATTTACAGAAAAAGTACGTGCATACTTATGTGGTAACGGTTAATATTACCTTTGATGTAATTTATTTCTGCAATTTTGCATTTAATTAGCTGCTGCTGTTATTTCTGGAAACATACCTGAAACACTTTCTGAAATACTTTGTGTTTTTTGTCACATGATACTGGATGTCAGATATGTCTGAAAACTCATTTTTTCATGGTAGTTTTTATTTTTGGGAAGAGTCGTAAATAGTAAGAGCAAAGTCAATAAGTTTGATAATTGATTTATTTACCAGGAAATTACAAACACTGAATTCACAATGGCTTGGGACATTGTTTTGACAGATGATCTGTTTAATAGGCCACAGTTTAGGTTTGCTTTTGATTGTTCCTGTTTAATGAATTTATGATGGACTAGCATCTTGTAATCAAAGAAACATATAAGCATGGTCTTATATGTAAGAAATTGTACTGTCTTTTGGCATTAAGTTTAACACCAAAAGATAGTATGTAACGTTTTATCTATTTAATTTTATTTGATCAAATCAAAAGCCCGGAAAATATCCTAATAGTGCATTACATAAACAAGGGTTCAAAAGTGCCAGGCCTGGACTTTGTGCATGCAATATGAACAGAAGTGATATAAGGAGAACTATATGTAATGTGAACAAAGTATATTTATTAGTTAAAGCCCAAATATGTACAATCAAGCAATAACATTAGAGATAAATGCAAAAATATAATAAAAGTAATTTATCAAAATCCAAAAACAAATATGTACCAAACTTTTCTGACAATTGGGGACTTACAAATTAAATTATAACTATCTCCACAAAAACTTACAAGCAAAATATGAAAAGATATCAAAAAATCACAATGAAATCTTACTAATTCATCTAGCTGTCACCAAGAAACTTCTGTGTCATTACTGTAACTTTAAAGCCTTTTGTCAGTCTCACTTGATCCTTATCATCACCTCAACTTCATCCCATTTGGTCATTAGTTTCACTTTTTTTTATAGTGTGGCTGGGGTTATGTTACATGCATATGTTCACTTGATCTTATTTACATACTTAATTGTTAACATTTCATGTATTCTAGTAATCTTCCTTTTTGATTTGTGTCATTACCCTTACAATTAATTTTATAATATTTTGTTGCACATTCAATGACAATTTGGGGTGGGAGATCATTCTTCTAACTTCCTGTGGAAGTCCCCAAGATGTCATTCCTGGGTTTGATGATGTCATAGGTTGCTGCCAGCAGTTGTTTTAGTAAGGTAAGTTAGTTTTTGAATTTTGCCTGGAAGAGGTGTGGCAGTTTATATTTAACAAAATAAATAGAATAACAAATTAAAAAATAATCCCAAACAAAATAGAATGGGTTGGAATCAACTCCTTAAAACGACAATTTCTTATGTATAGCATATTTGGCATTGTAAGTGAGAATATAAAGTTTAATAAGCATGGTCTTGAACTTTGAGCATTACATGCATGTTTTTTTTTTCAGTCTCAGTGAACTTGGTGTTTTCCATTATTGCTTTATCATTCTGTTTACAGAAAAATCAGTTGCAACTGTAAGCCATTACTATTTCTGTTCATCTGCCAAAATTCAAGATACACAGGAATAATTGGACAAACTTTGTGTCAATTTTTTGTATGACTGAACTTTCTGTTAAAATTACTTTTGTTGTATGTATTCATCTGTGAGAAATAACAAATGAATTACCATTACCATGCTATTAATCAGTATTAACCACTTTATCAACTTACTGACTGCATCATAGCCCCCACTTTGTCCACAGTTGTGTTTACCCTTTGTGTTTTTTGGCTGTCTCATTTTGCATTGTTATTTAAATCCTTGAACCTCTTATAATGTCAAAAACATTTGACTTTTTCACAGTGTCCTCACCACGAAAGACAGCTGTAATGTTTCTGTAGCATTTCTGCTGATCTTCATGCACAGTTTTGTGTTAATGCACTTTTCTCAATTTTCTTTTATTCATTTTACTGCCAAAACCTCACATACAGACTTGTATTGCTTTCACTACTGCACAATCTGAGTCTACAATAGTTGTCTAAACTTTGATCTTGGTGCCAAATCTAGCCCATGAATGTGTTTGATTTATTACTATGATAGAAATAGACCTACTTTTAATATATATGGAATATACAAAATATTTGTAGCTTGCCTATTTATAATTAAGAGGTTTGGGCACCACTGGTTTGCAGTTTGCACATGTATAGTAATAGTTGAAACATGTCCAGACATTCATAAGCATGTGATTCTGTCCACATTGCCACAAAAGTTACATTAAATGGCCACTTTTGGGAATTAAATTGTCATACCATATATAATAAAAAAAATTACTATTGCAGAATAAATTATGAAAGAATTTATATATATATGATTCTGACTGCTTCATTCAAGACAGCATATCTGGAAAAACAGAAATATTTGGTGTTTTAAGATAGAATTCAAATAAGTAATATGATTTATAGAAAAAATGGTATTGAAAAATAAAACAGTTTTAATTATTACATCAGGAACTCATAATTATGCACTTGTCACTGACAGATTAATGGCCAACTGCACATTAATCATTGTTAAAATTTAACAGATGAGTTAATAAACCTGTTAGAAAGCTGAAAGTGTTTCATCAAACTTTGTTAATGTTCACAAAATGTTAAACTGACCATTATTTTAAAGGTTAATTTTGGTGTGTTCAAGTTTTTAAGAACTTTTTAAGTTAAAATCCAGATAGCAGATAAGTTATTTTCTTTTTGTTGAAACTGTGTCCTTCTTTTATATTTATTATCTGACTTACAATGAAGTTATATTCTAAGAGACTAGACTGTCTTTACATCCACTTTATTTAATACTATATTGGTTTTATATTCATCTGTAAATATGTTTTTTGGGTTCTCCACCACTCCTGTTCAGTTGACTAAAATACATATTGTTACTTCATTGTTATACAATATTATAAAAATTTTCTTAAAAAGCAGAAACACATATATACAGTGGTACCTCAGTATACGTCTGCTTTAGAATACATCGAATTTGGAATACGTTCTGTTCGGACGAAACAAATTTTGCTTGGTATATGACTTAATTCAATCATACGCACCATCTATGAACAAGTAGCACTATCGGTATACTAGACCAGACTAGACGTTCACGATGCCACAGTTTATAATTTTGTTAAATTTCTTCTGATTTCAATTTGTAAGTAAAATTTTATTATTTTTATTAATCATGAATTGCAAAAAGGCAAATGAAAAGCAACAGAAAACTAAAAAAATGACTAGAATTACAATGGAACTGAAAAGAGATTATTGAGAAATATGAAGGTGGCATGCATGTTCAAGATTTAACTGTTGCACACCGTATTCCGAGAACAATGATACAGACAATCGTGAAAAATAAAGACATTATTAAATCTTTATAAGTGTCAAAGAAAGGTAATGTAAAACATAAGTCAAAAGTTATTATGGTATATGAAATGCTATATTATAATGTAAACAAAAAAGACAAAATAATTTAATGATGTAAAATTTACAGGAAATAGATGAATTAGAATTTTAAATGATGTTTAATGTAATTTTAAACAAAAAAAAAAATGAAAAATAGTGCATAAAATTGTATACCAAGGTATGTCAAAGCTTTTAAGGAAATTTTTAATAATATTACAATAAAGTAATAATGATACGTATTTTAGTCAACTAAGGATAGGTGGAGAACCTGAAACACATATTGACAAATGAATGTAAAAAGGATACAGTATTAAATAAAGTGGATGTACAGAAGTCTAGTGTCTTAGAACATCACTTCATCATGATTTGGAAAAGGAAAAAATATAGTTAATTTTTAACAATAAAATAAATAAAAGTTTTAAATTATTATTTTGTGAAAAAATTTAGATTTGATGAAAATACATATATTCTAAAATTATATTTCAGCTGATACAGAAGCAAATTGTATGATGTGTGATATGCCTGGAAATATTGCAGAATTATTATTTTGTACTAGTTGTGGTCATCATTATCATGGTTCTTGTCTTGATCCAGCAATAGCAGTGAATGCTGTTGTAAGAGCTGGATGGCAATGTCCAGATTGTAAAGTTTGCCAAACATGTCGGTAAGTATTTATAAAAATTTTTTAATATATTTTTTATTAAATTTATAAACCTGTAAAATAAATTAAGAAAATCACAATATAACTTTTTATAAAAATATATATATATATTCACAAAATTTACATTTTTTTTTATACACTGATCCCAAAGTACATTTCTGATTTCTTTTTCCTGTTTTGTAGATATTCAGCATGCTGATAATTTTAAACTGTAACACTGATACCCATAATAATAAACGATGCTTTTAGCCCATGACTTTAATTTAGATAGAGTTAGATAAAGTAATAAATAGGATTTTAACAATTTGTAGGGCTTACCACACCAAGTCGATCAAAAAATAGACCGGATTTTTTACAAAAAAAAATTAGTCTAATAATTGCCATCAAATTTAGGGAAAGATGATGCATTTCGGGTGCAAGGACCCCTCATCAGTTTACAAACACATAGTATTAACTTAGTATGCATACAATTATAACACTAAAAATTAACCAATATAAAGAAATTTTTTATACATACAGTGCACTGCATTTATAATAGTTAGTACAACCTATATTAAAGACTAATTTTTTTTGTAAAAGATCTGGGCTATATTTTGGTTGGCTTGGTATTATAAGCCCTCCAAATTGTTAAAATTCTATTTATTAGGTTATCAAACTCTATCTAAACTTGATACCCAGTTATATGGCATTCAAATCTCAATAATCATTGCAATTACTTTTCATGCAAAATATGCAACACCTTCCATTATTTTGTTTATCACATATTTAATTTAAGCTAAATTTGTAAATTATTATAACAACTGACTAATTTACAAACATATTCTACCATTAAAAAAAAAACAAATTTATTTTCAAGTTTTCTAATTTTTTCTTTTACCCAATACTGCTTAGTAACCTGCATAATTTCATGCAGTTCAGTAAATCTCTGTTTTTAACAGACTTTCCAGCATTTTCCATTGTTTGGAACAATTTTTCCATCTTTGAAGAGATATACCTTGAATTGATGGGAGAAAGTTTCAGTTCAATTTTAATTATAGTTTGCATCAGGCTAGTTATCACAGCAAGATTTTCTAGATACATTGTTTTTTTTTTAATATGACATTAGAAGGCAATTTCTATCATTAATTGTATAGCCAACATTAAATGTTTTTCTCTAAAGATTCTCTAAAGATTTTTAATGTTTTAAAATTTTTAAATAACCACTTTTTATGGAAACCGAAACATTTATTTTATTGAAAAATTGTTTCAAAGTTGGAAGTCTGCATTAATGGCAATAGAAAAAAGTTATTAGAAAGCAAGAGGCATTCCATCATGACTGTCTAATTGGGACCATCTTCAGTTCCTATTGTATTTTTTACACATGTTTTATGTTCTTACAAGATCTATTATCATAATGTGTATTATCATAAAATTAATAGTTATTATCCATCAATTTATATTCCCTGTTGTTTAATGTTTTACTAAAAAGATTTTTAGGCCTGTAAGCATGTAAAAAAAGTTTTAAAATGAACTTTTTGTTTATTATTTATTTGAAGTGGTTTCCATTAGAAAGCAAAATATTTTATATATTATTGCAAATATATTTTAAAGTTTAAATAAAATATATTTGTGAAAAATGAAAACAAACTATGTAATCTTCTGTACTTCTTTAATACTGATTTCTGCAACATAGAGTCAGATTTTTTAATGTTCTCCATTCTATAGTATTTCATATTGAAATTACATTCCATTTGATATTTATTTTATTTATATTTTACATTGAAATATTTTTTAAAATTTATTCTGGTTAGTACTCTAGGATTATTCTTATTAAATATGATTGAAACCATATTTTCGCAGAATGACTGGAATGCTGCATATAAACAGGAGAAACCAACATGCCGGTTAAACTGACTAAAATATAAAATTAATCGCATCTAACAAAACTAGTTAATTAAATGTTAAAGAACTTTAACATTTTTTCGAGTAGGCCTACAATAAAATAATAATAATATTGCAATTTGACTGACTTAAAATGAGAAAGAGAGTTCTTGTTTACAAGAAAATAAAACAATTAACAACTTATTGACAGTAGTAGTAGTAGTAGCAGCAGCAGCAGCAGTAGTTAGTCAGTGTGGGCTACACTGACCATCTACCCTGACCTTAAAAATAAAACTTTTCTCTCAAATTTCACTCAATGTTAATTGTGTAAGCTGAGGTAATTTACAGCAGATTTCTTAAATTTAATATGTTTATTTTTGTGTTTTTAAATCAAATAACAATTAAATACATATGAAAGAAAGCATTTTTGGAATTCCAAGAGTATTTTATGCTGTTAGAAAGAAGACAAAATTAAGAAATTAAACATATAATTGTAGCTTTTGATGTAATGTTGACAGTTTCAGTCTTAGAAAAAAAACTTGTTTATTTTTTTAATGCATGCTCTAGAGAGGGATGTATAACATCAGTTAAACAGATATGCCAACATCCCTCACGATAAACCGGTATGCCAGTTTTTACCATAAGGAAATATGTTTGATATTTATTTTCATGGTCTCCCCGGATAGACTGACATGCTGGACAATCTGCAAAAATGTGATGATATACATTGTTGAATATAGCTATTTGTTTTTATTTTAAAGATTTATTTTAAACAAAGAACATTTCTAAATTATTTTTTAGAGTACATTAATATATATTACTACATGAATTTATAAAAATTCTTTAAATGCTTGACATAGATAAAAATGTAAATAATAAAATTATTATGCACATTTTATGTAGTGTTTGTTATTCTTGAACTGCTGTATTTTTATTTTTGAAGTAGACAACCAGAAGATGATAATAAGATGCTTGTATGTGATACATGTGATAAAGGTTACCATACATTTTGTCTGAAACCAATGATGGTTACTATTCCCAAAAATGGATGGAAATGCAAGGTAAAAAATTAATAATTTCTTTAATATTAAGAAAATATAATACATTTTATCTAATATATTAAGTAAAACTATACTGTAATTCCTGCTAACTCAGATTTCACATAACTCACACACACATTTTTTCATAATATTGTACAGTAATTTAAAATTTATTCACAATAGTGTTTTTGATACACAGAAGTCTTTTTGATACTGTACACTATATTACTGAAGTTGGTAAGTTACATTGGTGCTTGTTGTACTGTCATTAAATTTTTTAGCTTATTTACTGTCATAATGAATTCAGCAGTATAACCTACTAAAGCTCAGTAATGTTTCTGTATAGAGCTGATTGTAATAAATTACTGCACTGTATATCCATCTTGAGTTCCACATTGTTGGAGAAAACACCCTACTAACTTGGACTTTTATTAACACAAACAAGTTTTACTTCCTATTAGTTTGTGTTAGTGGGTTTACTGTACTTACAAGGCTATAAATCTAAAATTAATATAATGCATATGTGGTATTCCATGTATAATGGCAGGATAACACATGGCATAATCTAAAATTAAACTATGTGCTATAATCAAAAAATTGATTATAAATTTGATTTGTTGACTTTAATTAGTTGTTATTATTTACAGTAGAATGTTTAAAATTTTTTTTCTTAATAACTTTACACTTTTTTAGAATATTAGTGCATTTTGTGTGTATTAGTTATCTTATTGGTAATATGTTTGGTGAATCTTGTCATATTACAATAAACATTTATAAAAGTCTAAACTAAATCAAAACAGACTCATTTTTCTGATTTAATTTAGATTCAGTCTCTCTCTCTCATGTCTTAAAAATTTTTATTGTTCAAATTTTACTGTAGAGATTGTAGATTTATATGCTTCTTTAATAAATCATTTAAGGTAATGAAGGTACAGTAGAGCGTCATTTATCCGAATCAATTGGGGACTGGGGCTGTTCGGAAAATTAATTTTTCGGATAACTGATTATGTACGAAAAAATATATTAACCTATCCCATGTTGAAATTTTTCTCCATTGCGTGTCGCTTTGCGTTGAATTTTCGTCGATGTTAAGCCTAACGAAGACTATTGTATCGTTAAAAATTATTTTTTTATTTTGTACAAACAAAATAAATTTATTGAAAAATATAAAAACAATAAAAAATTATACTTCAGAAGTTAATTTAGTATCAAAAACGTAAAATATTTGAGTAGCCCAAGGCATAGCCAAAGATTGCAGTGCCACAGCACTGGCAAAAATTTAAATTTGACAACTGGAATTCTTTCAGATAATTGACGTTTCAGATAATTGACTTTCAGATAAACGACGCTCTACTGTAATTGTAAAGAAATTATATATTCTGCTTATTCCATAATATTCATAATATTCAAATTGTTTGAAGTTTTTGGAATAAATAGAACATTTTTTTATATTAACTATAGTTTAGAATAATTTGATTTGAATAAAAACTGCTAAAAAAAATGGTTATTAAATAAATTTATGTTTAAATGAAACATTTTATATTTGTTATGAAAACGAAGATTTTGTTTGCTTAATATATTTTAGTTTTGTTTTTTGTATCATAATGTAAAAAGAACTATTTTAGAAATTAATATGTAACTATAGAAACAAATAAAAAGCAATCATAAAATAAGCAGAATATTTTTTATTGTTAAAATTTAATGAAACTAATTGCTATTTGAAAATAACTAAATAAAAAAGTTTGAGTAGCATTCTCAGATAATTGAAATTAGAAAAATTTCTAACTTAATAATAATTATGTTTTTAGAATTGTCGAATTTGTGGAGATTGTGGAGCACGCACTCCTGGAAGTGGTCCTAGTTCACGTTGGCACATGAATTATACTGTTTGTGATAGTTGTTATCAACAAAGAAATAAAGGTGTAGCGTGCCCATTATGTGGAAAAGCTTATAGACAGTTTAGTCAAAGAGGAGAAATGGCCCAGTGTAGAGTTTGTAGAAAGTAAGTAATTTTATTGATATAATCTATATTATAAATTAAAAATCATTTTGATTTTGAACTGAATAATTTTGTTCATTTCAAAAAAAGATTTTGAACTGAATAATTGCACATGATATTATATGAGATTAATATAGTATGAGCTTTATTATTTAACCATTTTTTATAAGATTATTAATTTAAACTCGTATATAAATTATATATGTTTTAAATGCTTTGTTGATATTAAACAGATAGGTATTGTGTTTTGTTTCCTTTAACTTTGTTTTTAGTATTTTAATAAAAATATATTTTGAAACAGTTTCATTGCATAAAAGATTGAAACTATGTAATTATTTTGATACTAGTTTTATGAGTAGAAAAATGTTCATTTTATTAAAAATTATGATTGCTTGACAGTTGGACTGTTGTTGAAAAATGTTAGTTATCATTTGTTTTAATTATTATATTCTGCATTTTATTTTTTAAAAAATTTTCAGTATTTTGTATGCTATCAAAGGCATTCATATAAAATGTACTTTTGAAAGGATTTTTAAATTTTGATTCACCTATTTAAAAGTGATTTTTCATTATAAGTGGAGTCACAATTGATGATTTTTATGTAATTATTACTATCTACTGTTTCATGTACTGTAAGGTCTCTTTTTATGCGGATTATTTTTATGCGATTTTGAAGTTGTGCGGTTTGTATTTCATCCAAAAATTTCTTGGACAAACATACATATAGGCTTGTTTAGGAAGCCCGTGTATAGACAGTCTCCAAAAATCGTGGAACGCTCAAAGCTCACTCCATTTGTTCCACTGACATATAACGTTTATGGATGTTAAGGACTACTAGATCTACCTTAATCGCTTTAGTTCCTAGCAATTTTTGATATAAATGTAATTAAACATAAAAAATACTTAAAACTGAAAAAAAACGAAAGAAATGCGTTAATTTTGAAGAAAAAGCTTCAAAGTTTAACTTCCTTTGTCTCGCCCTTCTGTGAAATTTAACACAATGAATCATTGTTTACACATCTGGATGACCTTGAACACAGCTGGAGTTGGATTTCCCGAGGCATTCTCATAGACGTCACGGGAAGACAAGGGTTTAAAGTAGGGTGAACACTAGCTGGCCGTATATTTTAAAATATTTTTTAAAAATTTGGAGACTTAAAAAACATTCCAAAAATTTAAAAAAATTTTTCAAAAATGGCCTTAAAGACCATGTTTTATGTAATGCTATGTAACCTGCCCGAGTTAACTCTGGCAAGGAACTAAAGGGGTTTTAATTAACTCTCCACATCCAGATGTCAGTGATTTATTTTTAGAGTGAGCTTTTGCAATTCGGGGATTCCCCTTGTACATGATACTTACCATCGACAAGTCACTATTACATCATTCTGAGTTTCGCATTGAAAGGCATAAACTGTAATTGTTTTGAAATTAAATTTTATTTTAGCGATGTTTTGTTCATTTTTATAATAAGTAGCGAGTTTAAATTTTGCTGATTTCAAGTTGAAGTATTTAGCTGCCTATTTCTTTTAATTTCTAGAAACTTTTTTATGCGGTTTTAAGTTAATTTTAACTTGTTGTTTTGGTTTTATGCGATTTTAGAAAATTACGGAATGTATCCCTACTTTTTCAACTCAAGTAAAGTCTTTTTTTATGCGAATTTTTTATATGCGCTTTTCTGTAGAACGTAATACCACCGCATAAAAAGAGACCTTACAGTACATAATAAACAATAGATACTAGTAAGTATCTATGTTATGTATACAACCCTGACAAAGAAAATCTTGGACAGCATGTTATTCTAATCATTTTAATCAGTCTCTAGCTTATCGTTCAATAATATCAAACAAAAGATTTTTACATTTATAATTATTTTATATTAATAAACTTTTATTATAACTGAAGATTTTACATAAAAAGTTTTCATGTTAATATGTAAAAAAGTTATGAGCAAATTGAAAAAAGCATGTGCGACAAAGAAAAGCTCTGACAGAGTCATTTTTGACAAATAATACCTCAGACAATACATTAAATGACCGCTTCCTAAATGTGTAAATGAGCTGATGTGATATTTGCATTTTTTTTCTAATTAACATTATTGAGATGTGTTTGTTTTATGAAAGTGGCACCTGGGAAGGCTGTTAGTTTTGATATATATATATGAAGTAATTATCATCCTCCATAGACAAGACAAAGCCTTAAGAAAAATTGCAAAGGAGTTAAAAATTGGTAATTTCATAGTATGGGATATTGTTTCAAAATATCAGGAAACTGGTAAAATTTATCCAGAAAAATTGACTGAAGATCAGCAACCATAACAAAGACTGATCATAAGTACAGTGGTTTTTCAGCATATGAAATTTTCAGGATATGACATGAAATTTGAATATATTTTTGCTCCACGATACAAACAAAAACCCACCATATGACATTACATTAGTTCGCAGCACCATTTTTTATTCACTTCTATTCATTGGGCTTAGTCTGTGTGTTTACTTTATTGTGGAAGAATCTTGCTTGATAAAGGAAATCTTGAGGTATTATCAGAAAGTGACTGATTTTATTGAAAAGAAACATCCCGGAAAGGTTCACACTAGCCGTATTGCTGCTCAGAGTAATGACATTTGCCTAAGTCATTTTAGAAACATTTTAAAAAGTAGGCAAAGCCAAACCTCTTTGGATAGATATTTTACCAAGTGACCTCTATCCAGTGAAAGTGCTGGTGGAAGTGAAGGAAAGAAAGCAAAAAGTAGAGAATAAAAATTAAAAAATAAATAAATAAATATATATATATATAAAACAATAATTTTTTTTAATCTTTTCTAAGTTATTTTTAAGTTATTGTTACATTATGCTATGTAAGTTAAGTTTTAGTATCATTTCCCTTCTCCCTCTCTTCTGCCACCAGTTTACACTTCCACCATCATCTATCCTCAAAGGTAAAGTGCAAATAAAACTACATTTTTTTTTTATCAGTTATTATTCTATTATGGTTATTTATACATTTACAACTACAAAATTCATTTTTCAGTGTTTTTCTTACTATAGTTATTTTTTTTCAATGTACTACTTAGCTTTAATTTGAGTGTGTTTTTTGTGTTGGAACAAATTATTTGGTTTTACATGTGATTGTATGGGGAAAAATGATTCACCTTACGACATTTTCATGATACAATCTCAGTTTCGGAATGGATTAATTTCGTATCCTGAGGTACCAATGTACTTTCATGAAATAATTAAAAAATATCAATGGGCATCACTCAGTGAATTAGTGAATGAATGGAATAAAGTTACTGGAAAGGAAGTTACAAAAGAAACTTGTATCCATCGGCACAAACTTGGTTACAGCTTCTGTCAGGCAAGAAAATATTATTATTTTTTACTTAACAATTGTGACAGATGATATTTCTTAGACAAAGGCAAAACCACTTCTCACAAATACACAAATAAAAAATTGATTGAAGTGGACCGAGCAGCAATGTTGGACACAACAGTGGAAGCATGTTGTTTTTGGTGATGAGGCAAATTTGGAAGTCTGCAATAAAGGCAATAGAAAAAGTTATTAGAAAGCAAGAGGCATTCCATCATGACTGTCTACACTGTAAAATTCCCAGCAAATGTTATGGTGTAGGGTTGCATGTCAACCTAAGGTGTGGGAAATTTGCATTTTGTTGAAGGATCAGTAAATGCAACAAAATACCAACAAATCCTTGAGGAAAACCTATTACCATCATTAGAAAAATTACAACTTTTCAGCAGGATGATGCAAGTTGCCATACTGCTAAAACAACCAAGGCTTGGCTGACCCAGCAATTAACACTTTAAAATGGTCATCAAACAGTCCCAATCTTTCCCCTATAAAAAATACGTGGGGTAAAATTTAAAAAGCATTGAGAAAATGTCCTCAAGGGTGTGTGGATGGTTTAAAGCAAAAAATTAAGCAAATTTTGGATAAAATTACTTCAAATGAATGCCTGGCTCTTGTTGATACGATGAATGATAGTATGAATGCTGTTATAGAAGCCAAAGGTTAAATATTAATGTACTGTCTGAGGTATTGTTTGTCAGAAATGGCTGTCTGAACTTTTTTATGTCTCATATGCTTTTTTTCAACTGCTTATAGCTTTTTTTTTATATAATATTAACATGAACATTTTTTTATGTAAAATCTTCAGTTATAAGAAAAGTTTACTAATATAAAATAATTGTAATGGTACAAAACTTTTTTGTTTGATTTTATTGAAGGATAAGCTACAGATTGATTAAAATAACATGCTATTCAAGGTTTGTTTGTTGGGATTGTATACAGAGTGAGTTTTTTATCTTAGACAATGAAGTAACTTAAATGGATCTCATTATTTTGGAAAAAGGTTTAGACAAAAGCTGTAGAATTTCGAATGGGCAATCAATTGGTGATCTTGTATGTGTCTGGGGTCAAAAAGACCTTGACATTCAAGGTCTTTTTGACCCCAGCAATTGAAAGAGTGGGAAATTTCAGAATCAAATATACCCTTGATCTTAAGGTCAAGATTATTTTAAGGTTAAAATTGAAAGCTTTTTCTAATGGAAGCCATACTTTTTATTACTAAAATAGAAAGGGAGGTAAAATTTACATTTTTTCACATTGTGACCTTATTACTTTGACCTTTCAAAGCATTCACTACTTTTAGCACTACCCAGGGGTAACAAAGTAGACATAGTAGTTTTCTGCTCCCTTTGAGATGCTGTTTTCTGTGAGTCCCTTTGCCTCTCACTATTGGGGTGCTTGTTTTTGGAGACTCACTTTACTTCTGACTGTTTCTTGAGATATTGGTTTTGGGAAAAAATTTTATAACAAATGTTCGAAATAATGCTTTTTTACTTCGATGCATTTGTTGAGCTGCACTTCAAATAATCATGCTTGAGTTGTCTAAACCTTTTTTTGAAATAATGACATCCAATTAAGTTATTTTATTGTCTCAAGATAAAAAACTTACACTGTATACAGAGTATTCACTTAAACATTTGTCCAGAGGCAAAAGAGATCTTTTAAACATTGCTCAAGTGTATCAGCATATGGTTCATGCTTGGTCTAGTTCTGAAAGGAACAAAGTTAAGGTGATTTAGTATAATGTACAAATAATCTCCGACTGTAATGGATAAAGACAACATTGCAGAAATTGATAAAAGATAGTGAGCTTTATTTTGTTTGTTCAAAGCAACCTTTATTTGCAATACAAAGATGTAGAAGGTTGAATATGGTGTTATGGGTGGCATGTAGCCTTGGTGTCACTGTTTCTCAGACCTCTTATATGCATCTCGCCAGTTCACTAACATCATGTAGTGCTGCTGGGAACCTATCTTACATGAATGCTTTTAGATAACCCCACAGGAAAACTCCAGAGGGGTCAAATCTGAGGAACATGATGGCCATAGAAGGGTTGTGTTTTCCTATCTAGCAGTTGTGAAACTGAGTCACTAATATATATCCTTAAATAATTTATTTTATTTTACTGAATGCATTAATTTATCATCATTGTGGCATTTTT